ATTACTCTCTAACTTACTGGCATTCATTTCACCTTCCCCTTTGATACTTTTTTTTTTTTTTGGTGGTGGTGGTAGGGACTGAAATCTGGGCCTAGGCTGTGTCCCTTAACTCTTCAGCTCAAGGCTAGTGCTCTACCTCTTGAGTTTCGGGCATTTTCTGCTTATATGGTGCTAAGGAATTGAACCCAGGGCCTCATGCATGCAAGGCAAGCACTCTACCACTGAGCAACCTTCCCAGCCCCTGATACTTTTTTAAAAAAGTAGTCAAACTTGACCTCCACATGAGTCAGTCCCAAATCTGTATCTAATGCCCAATTTCTCCTCCATTCAAACCCTTATATCCAGCGGGCTGGGAAGGTGGCTCAGTGGGAGAGTGCTTACCTTGCATGCATGAGGCCCTGGGTTCGATTCCTCAGCACCACATAAGCAGAAAAAAAAGCCAGAAGTGGCACTGTGACTCAAGTGGTAGAGCACTAGCCTTGAGCTGAAGAGCTGAGGGATGGCGCCCAGGCCCAGAGCTCAGGCCCCACAACCGGACCAAAAAAAAAAAAATTACAAACCCTTATATCCAGATATCCAATGGACATTTACACTTAATTGGTCTGTACCGCCTAAGCTTTTCTCTGTAAACATACAATGTAAATCTGAAATAATCCTTCAAGTGTCCAGGCACATAACCTGTGTTGGTTCTCTTTAACCTCTTATAACCAATTAATTGATCACCACATGCTACTTATTCCTGGAGATCTAAAGATCTCCAATCCAATCTGACTTTCTTTTAATTCCTTCCTAAATTTAATGCCTAGGAATTATGGTAGAAACTTAGTAATGGCTCTCTTTAGCTTTACTTTTAATGTCTACCCATTCATTTTACATTCTGCTAAAAAGTGATTTTTCTGAAAGTTCAAATATGATCATATTACTTTCCTGTTAAATCCCATATATTTTTTCCCATTGTCTTTAACATAATACCCAAAGTCATTAATGTGATCCAAAGTCTTTTCTGATGCTTTCCTCACCCTCATCCTGTATCTCTAAACCATTCTTTCTCGAAGTTGGGCATGGCGCTAACCTTTGTCAGAACTATGGAATCATTGTTAAACAGCTCAGTTTCAGAACAAATGACCCTTTTGGGGAAGAGAGGTAATAGCAATGAGTATGGATTTCAAGCAAGTTCTGTGCATTTTAACATGTGGGGCATTAAAGATTGAGGACCTCTGTTCTAGATACACAGTCCTGTTTAACCCTGCTTTTTATCCCCACCAGATGACTAATGAAGTTCAGGACATACTACCCCAAAATGTGGCACCTTAACATTTGAGAAACAGCAGAAGCAGGAAGCCCATTTTTTTTACTACCTACTCTTCTTCCCTGAAGCAGACCCTGAAAGAGATTTTTGACCTTTTCTGTTTAAGACCCTCCTGTGAGGGATACCCATCCTACACATGAAGGGAAGAAATACTCTTAAATCTTTGAAGATGCAAAGACACAGAAAAATCGCATCAAACAGGCCTTGCTAAATTCCCCTTTGTTGTACCATACTTCTGCATAACTGTCCCCTCCTCATCAAACTTAGCATAAAAATACACAAGTTTCCCTATTTGGATATTCATCTCTGAAGGCTTTTGTGCCACGAAAATCTGTATGCTCTTGTTAATATGGCTTTATTATAGGGATCATAGTTGTGAATCTTTGAATGGGTGAGAAAAGAAATCTCATATTACTTGTGTTCTTTGGACATAACTTGCATGTTTTGTCTTTGTACAGATTTAGTTCAGGCTACTAACACAAAAATGTCCTAGACTGGGGTGGTTTAAGTAACAAATTTATTTCTTATGGGGAATCTATGAAAATCTGTCTGGAGATCTGTAACCAAGCTGCCAGCATAGTTGGGCACTTGGTGAGAGCCCTGTTTCTGTATTCTTGCTTTGTTCTCACATAGTAAGGGGCGAAGGGGGCGGGGGGGGGGAGGTATCATGGTGTCTTCCTTAAGGTCCCTATCGCTCTCAAAAGGGTACCATCTTGATTACCTCTAAAAGTGATCTCTCATGTGAGGGTGTGATACCACCTTATTAGAACTCCAATGTCCATTCTCTATGTCCAGACATAGAGAATGCAAACATAGTTCACACATAGCTCTTTCTTTAAAGGACCCTTTACATTTATCTTCTGGTATTGCAACCACAATTTTTTTTTTTCCAGTCCTGGAGCTTGAACTCAGGGCCTGGACACTGTCTCTGAGCTACTCTTGCTCAAGGCTAGCACTCTACCACTTGAGCCACACCACCACTTCTGGCCTTTTCTGCTTATGTGGTACTGAGGAATCAAACCCAGGGTTTCATGTGTGCTAGGCAAGCACTCTACCACTAAGCCACATTCCCACCCCAACACAATTCTCTTAAGAAGTATGTTTATTGTCTTTAAGTAGTTATACAAAGGAGTTGCCATCCAACAGAGCAGTTTATGAATACAATATATCTTGATTAATGTCATCCCTTGCAACCTTCTTACCTATCCCTTCCAACCCATCTCTCACTTTTCTTAATTTTTAGGTTGGTATTCAAAATCTCTTTTCCATTGAACAAAGATTTGTGTATACGGTGCATCTTGATTTGTGTCATGCCCTCAATACCTTACCTCCCCCTTTGATGTACCCCTTTCTTTATTTTCATCAGTTTTGTGGTATGTACAATGAATTCTTGCTTGCATTCACTCCCCTTTCCCTATTCATTCTACCTCTCCCCTGTTTCCCATCCTCCCCACTTGTGTTTTAATTGTGGGTTTCAAAGTTGTGAGCACTCAAGAATGGCTTTTATTCTTCTTTGCCCCAGCTTCTGGCTCAGAGCCTGCCATATAGGATGTGTGTGTGTGTATGTGTGTGTGTGTGTGTGTATGTTTTAAATTTTTGCCAGTCCTGGTGCTTGAACTCAAGGCTTGGGTACTCTCTGTGCTCTTTTTGCCCACGGGTAAGTGCTCTACTACTGGACTTACATCATTTTATTGGCTAACTGGAGATGAGTCTCATGGACTTTCCTGCCCAGGCTAGCATTGAACTGTGATCCTCAGATCTCAGTCTCCTGACTAGCTAGGATTATAGGCATGAGCCACCAGCTTCTGGCTTATAGATGTCTTTTGAATGAAGGAATGGTTTAGTGTTGGATGGGGAGGAAGTGCCTTTGGGACCCTTTCTGTGCTAGCCTTGATGATGTCTTAGAGTCTCCAGAAGGTGGGCTCCCTGGCACCAATTTTTTATTGCATGTAACAACAATGCTTCTTCCCAAGAGGAATTTTTAAATAGAAGAATTAGACTTTTTGGTAGAAGCAGCTTTTTTTCCTGGTCTATGTACCTCATTTACAAAGTCATCAACGTTTAAAATTTATCTTGAAACTAATTTATAGCATATGCATTGCAAGTTTAAAAATAAATGTGATCCACCATCTCACAACCTAGAGGAAATTACTTAAATTTTTTATTTTTATTTATGTTGGCATCTTAAAATTCATATGTATATCTTGACGTAATACTAGTTATACATTTTTTTTTTTGATTAGTCGTGGGGCTTGAACTCAGGGCTTGGGCACTGTCCCTCAGCTCTTCAGCTCAAGGCTAGAGTTCTACCACTTGAGCTACAGCACCACTTCCAGTTTCCTGGTGGTTTATTGGAGATAAGAGTTTCACGGACCTTCCTGCCCGGGCTGGCTTTGAACTGTGATCCTCAGCTCTCAGCCTCCTGAGTAGCTAGGATTACAGGGGTGAGCCACCAGCACCCGGCCATACGTGGTTTTTTATCCTGCTGATTTTGCTTAAAACTTTCTTATTTTTTCTCACATCTATAAGCATTCTCAGTAAAAACAAAGTTACTTTAAGACTTATTTCATTGATGTTTTATAAGTAGTTGTCTATCCCAGATTTTACTTGCGTGGAATCTAGCAACCAACAGAACAAAGTTTTTACTCTCTTGAAGTTTGCATTCCAGTGCATTCCAATAGGATAGACTAAGCAACAAATTAACAAATGATTGCTGCCAGCCAGTGGCTCATGCCTATAGTTCTAGTTACTGAAGAGGCAGAGATCCAGAGGATTGTAGTTTGAGGCCAGCCTACACAGAAAAGTTGAGAGACTCCATCTCCAAAATAATCAGCAAAAGGCAGGACTGGAGATATGCCTCAGTGGTAGAGTGCCAACTGATCAAGCAGACTGAGTGAAGGCAGGCTCTGAGTTTGAACTCTGCTACCAGAAAAAAATAAACCAAAAAAGTAGTAAATAAAAAGAAATACCATCATATGGTAAGTGTCATAGAGAAAAAAAATAAGGTTATATTTCTTCATTTGTTTTTTAGTGAAATTATGCTAGCTTACTTTCATTATAGGGATTTATGGATGTATCTATCTTGTTTTACTTTGTGAATATGATAATTGAAAAGTTATTAATTTTATAGGCAGATGATTATAGTTCTTTGTTATTTGTAAGTCTTTGAGCATTTAGGAGACTAAATAGTCACACACATTTCCTAGCTGGAATTTTTTGTGCATTTTCTTCTACTTAATTTCCTATTAAAGGCCTCTTCTAATGTTTAGAAGAAGCCCTTACTGATGTGTGGTTGGGTCCCTCATATATAATGGTCAGTTAGTCTTAAACAGTGGCATAGTGAAGGGTAAAAGTGAGAAAAGCCAGTGGAAGCCTAGAAGTCCCCTACCTCCCCTTCTGCCCCTCCTCCTCCCTTCTGATGTCTTGAAGAAAAAGTGATCAGATAAGGAAGAAGTGTAGTTAAGGTAGAAAGATGTGAAGGAAGAAGGAAATAGAGGTAGGTGAGTGAGATGGTGAAAGTAGGAGGGAAAAAATGAGAAAGCAGAAATGAGCAGAAGGAAAAAAGGAATGAACAGAGGAAAAAAGGATAGAACAAATGTCCAACTGGCCAAAGAGTACTAGACTGTTACACAGTTACAGAATACTTGGATAATGACACTTTCCTTTTTTTGCCTCCCCTAACCCAGCTCATCTCCAGGAGAAGATGACCGTGTTCTTCAAAACACTTCGGAATCACTGGAAGAAAACCACAGCTGGGCTCTGTTTGCTGACATGGGGAGGTCACTGGCTCTATGGGAAACACTGGTAATAATGGTCACTCCACCCCACCTTCACCCCTGGCCTCATAACAGCACAACCAGTGCAAGGCTTGAGGTTGAAATTTTGTCCCTAACACATTGTGGGTGAAAAGGTATTCAAACCAAAGCCAACACAAAAGTGTCTTATAATCAATTCTGTGTAATTGCTCCAAGGTATGTAGATTGTAGTAGTAGTGAGACTTGAAAGGAGACTATTTTTATTTTATTTATTGTTGAAGATATTGGGGTCTATCCTGCAGAGTGTAAACTCCTCTTCTAAGTTAGTAGTGGATAAAAATTGGAACTCATGTATCTCCTTGTTCCATTATTTACTGTGTCTTCATTGGTCCTTACTCCAGTTACTGGATGCTCATTGGCTATGACTCCTCCATCTCCTTGCTGCCCCCATCTGTCCTATGAACCTAGGGCCACAAACTGCCTATTTTTTAGACATGGAAGGAAAGGGAAGTACTGAAGCTCTTCCGGTTTAATATGGTAATAAGCTTAAACAGAAGTTTTAGTATTAAAAACCCCATCCAATCATCTTGCAGTCTTTTGAGGAATAAGTGCTACATTTTCAATATGTAACAACACAGGACTCCAGAAGTCTTAAGTGAAAAGTTTTGTGTTGGAAATGTCCACATTGGAAAAAAAGAGATTCATTCAGATGCTTTTTGGCATTTCTCAACTGACCATTGTGGGAAAAGCTAGGATGCACCATGATGTCTTCTTGTCTGTAGCTATATAACCTGGGACATAGCCTCCCTCCACCCCCCTTCTTTTCTTTCTAAGTATTCTCAAGATTCAACTCATAGATTCCATTAGCTAGCATCTCTGAAGATACCTAAGAAGCTTATCTTTTGTAATGTAAGAAATGACAAGGGTGGCACATTTATTTTAACAAATGGACTCTGAGACATGTAGTATTTTGCTTTTCCTCTCTTTTCTAAGTGACTCGAACCTTCAAGGAGAGGCTCTTAACTCTAAGCTACAGCAGGGACAGCTCCATCTGGGGATACAACACCCATCAGGGATTATTATTGTTTTCCTAACTAGGTGAACTGTCTAGGAGCTGAAACTTGAAGATTCAAGATTCTGTAATAACTTCCTAGAGTCTTGTGACTTTAAAAAGGGCCAATTAGGTTTCCAGAATGAACAGAGGCCCCATTCTAAGTTAGTTTAGAAACAGCTTGAACCCAAAGTGTGCTAGAAGTCTGGAGGCTTCATTTTGCTCTGTTTCTGCCCTTGAAATTCAAGATTATTGCCCCAGCTGTTTACCACCCCCACCCCCAAATTGTCTGCTCTTTTTCCCCTCAAACTTACCTTCTGCATGCTTTGGAGCTACTTAACCACTTTTATTATTATTATTATTTAATTAACTTTTTTTTTTTTTTTGCCCTTCATGGGGCTTGAGCTCTGAGGTAGAGCACTGTCCCCTAAGCTTTTGTGCTCAAGACTAGCACTCTACTATTTGACCACAGCTCTTCAGGCTTTTTGTGATTAATTGGAGGTAAGAGTCTCCTGGACTTAACTGCCTGGGCAGATTTTACCCTCCTGAGTAGCTAGGATTTCAGACGTTGCAACCGGCTGCATACCCCTTAACCTGCCATGATTGGGAACAAGGTAGTAATGGAGACTGGACCATGGAACTGAGGTTTGGGGTATCAGGGGACCTGTAGCCTTCCACCAGCTTTAGATCCCAAGGTTCTATTCACCAAGGTTTTCATTGGTCTTGTATAGGGAAGCATGTGCAGAAAGTAAGATATAAACTTCTACATGGGACAATATTTTGTATACAAGTGGTAGATGGCCTCCTTATTTGGGGAAAGAAAGCTAAACAGTAAACAGTTTACAATTTGCATAAACCTGTTTACCCGCATACTCCCACATAGTTTAGTGTGGAGTTAGCTCACACCCAGGATAGAAGTCTGAATTCTTAAGCTAGGACTGCTTGACCTTTCCAGGAAACTCTCAGTGTTCTCAGAGTCTCTGGGGAGAAGGCATTCCAATCTCCCAATCTGGTGGGGTCTCACAGCTCAGATTTTTGGGTTCTCACATCACAGTTGCGCCACCAGCACCCAGCAGCCACTTCTTTTTTTATTTTTTATTTTGATGTGCTGAGAACCACATTAAATTTGCAAACTTAATCATTTGTGAGTGTATAGATCAATAGTGTTAAATAAATTCACCTTATGTACAGATTTCTAGAACTTTTTTTACACCCATTGAGCAATCTTTTCCTGTTTTATATTTCCCCACTTCCTTACGGTTGCTGTGAGCTTGACTGTTGCACCTGCCTGGCATATGTATAATCATATAAAGTTGTCATTGTAGGAATTTTTCATGACCATCTCAGAGGATCATGCAGAAGCAGGCAGGCACAGAACTATTACTCTAAGGTTTATTAGAGGGGCCATATCTCCCCAGGAGAGGGAACACATGGCGCCGGTCCCTGTCCAAGTGGCAAGTAGGTCTGGGATGGGGGGAAATGAGGGCGGAAGTGAGGTAAATAAGTGCACAAGTGGGTCTGGGCGGAGAGAGGGAGTGGGCAGCTGTAGGGCGGGAACTCTAGGGCAGGGCGGAGCTCAGGTCGGGTGGAGCTGAGAATCAAAGGTAGGGATGACCAATACTGTTGTATTGTGACAGGTTTACCTCCCGAACAAAATGTTTTTCAGGCTCATCCATGCTATGACAAATGGCAGAATGTCTTTATTTTTAAAGACTGAGGAGTTACTAGTATTCCATTGTGTGTATGTGTCACAGTTGGCTATTGTGAATTCTTGTGATGAACTCGGGAATGCAAATATCTTGATGAGATGCTGCTTTCAATTCTTTTAGATGAATATTCAAAAGTGCTGGATCCTGTAGTAGTTTTATTTTTAATTTTTTGAGAAACCTCCATACCGTTTTCCATAACAGCTGCATCCTTTTATAATACCACCAACAGTGCCTGAGGGTTCCATTCTCTCCATATGCTCATTAATGTTTTTGTTTTTGTTTTCTGCAGTAGGAGTACTGGGGTTTGAACTCAGGGCATTGTGCTGCCAGGCTGGTGTTCTCCCTTTATTCCTTCTTGTTTTGCTTATTTTGGAGATAGAGGCTAGTGAACTTTTATGCCCAAGCTGGCCTCAATTATAACCCTCCAGACCACAGTCTCCTGAGTAGCTAGGATTATAGGTGTAAGCCACTATTACCTCTCCCCAAGTAATCTTACCCACTCAGATTGCTTTTGTCACCAGCTCTAGGTAGCCACGGCCCAGATTTCTGCAAAGGCCTCTTCTGAGCTCGACCTGAACATAAAATTCAACTGTGTGTCTACTTGGAGGTTTCAGAGGTGCCTCCAACTCAATAGAAGATTTCTCAATAAGAAGACTTCCCACCAAACCTGTTCCATTTTAGCTTTTAATCAATCCCATTCAACATCCACCAAATTTCCCATTTGTACCTCATCTTCATTTCTCCTTATCCCCATCCCCCAGACCAAGCTTATGCATTTTAATAAGTTTTTTACCGTGAAAATACTGTACAGAGGGGTTACAGTTACATGAGAAAGGTAATGAGTACATTTTATCATTTTGTCCCCTCCTTTGTTTTTCCCCTACCATCCTGTCCCTCCCACCTCCACAACTACCCCCATTCCCCCCGCCTAAATTGTACAGTTCGTTTTTCAACATGGTGTCTTTTACATCTTATTATTGCAATGGGTGAATCTGTATCCCTATTTAAACATTTTGTTTTTTTCCCTTCCCTTCTCCAAATTATGCCAACATCAAATACAGTGAAAACACGTTATACCATGGGGGAGGGACATACAAAGCAACAAAAAAATCACATGGTACAAGTATGTTAGAAACAATAGTAAGAAAGAAAAAACCACTTGTGTCTATCTTGGGGTTCACTTCGCTTAACTTTATCTTATCTGGTCATATGTATATACAAGCTTATGCATTCTAAGTGACTTTTTTTTGGTCAGTCATGGGGCCTGAACTCTGGACCTGGGCGCTGTTCTTCAGCTCTTCAGCTCAAAGATAGCACTCTACCACTTGAGCTACAGTGCCACTTCCAGCATTTTCTGCTTATGGGGTAATGAGGAATCGAACCCAGGGACTCATGCATGCAAGGCAAGCACTCTACCACTGAGCCGTCTTCCCAGCTCCCTAAGTGACTTTTTATCCTCAGAATCTCTTCCTGTGTTTTCTTTGCTTGTCCTTACTCACCACCATCATCCACACTGCCATCTTCTTGCATGGAGTCTTTTTTTTTTTTTTTGTCAATTGTGAGGCTTGAACTTTGGGCCTGGGCTCTGTCCCTGAGTTCAGCTCAAGGCTAGTGCTCTACCACTTGAGCCACAATGCCACATCCAGTTTTCTAGTGGTTAATTAGAGACAAGAATTTCATGGACTTTTCTGCCTGGGCTGGCTTTGAACCCCAATCCTCAAATCTCAGTCTCCTGAGTAGCTAGGATTATAGGCATAAGCCACCGGTGCCCAACTTGCTTGGAGTCTTAATGGCCTCCTGTTTTCCCTGTATCTGATCTGGTCTGTTTTGTATACTATCACCACAATATTCTTTTCAAGTGCAGGTTGCTATTCCTTTTAGAATCAAGTTGAAAATCCTTGCCAGCTCTAGGTGAGCTTGACCTGTCAGCATGTAGCTATATCCTTGCTGCATTCCACCTTTGGCATACGCAACACTGAGGTCTTCCAAAGTGACCTGTTTTGTGGAGTGTCTTCACATAAGTTGTTTCCTAATTCTCCAGGCAACTAGCTCTCTAGATATCAAATGTTATTTCTTCAAGGTGGTGTCCCTGTACCTTCTAAGTACAGGTAAGGCAGTCTTTCCAGTCTTCCTCCATTGTACTGTGAATTCCTTGTATGGCTCCTATTGTGGTTATGTTTTGTTCTGTTTGTTTCTTCTCTAAGCTTAAGTCTTGAAAGGCAGGGGCCATGCTCTGTCTAGCCTGAAGGCCCCACACGTAGCATGTATATGAGACCCGTATCAGTATAG